TCCTCTTTTTTGCCCTTCCTTTTCTCCTTTCTTTCTGTTTCTTCTTTTTTCTTTCTTCCTTTTTCTTTCTTTTCCTTCTTTCTTTTCTTCTTTATTTTCTTTTTTTCTCTTTTTTCTTTTCATTTCTTTTTATTTTGTCTTTTCTTTTCTTTTCTTGCTTTTTCTTTTTTTCCCTCTTTTGTCTTTCCTTTTTTCTTTCTTTTTCTTTTCTCCCTTCTTCCTTCTTTCTTTTCTTTTCGTCTTTCTTTCTTTTTTTTTTTCTTTCTTCTTTTTCCTGCTTTGTTTTCGTTCTTTCTTCTTTCTTTTTCTATCTGTCTTGTCTTTCATTTTTGAGACAGAGTCTGCTGTCTCCGGCTAGAGTGAGCGCCGTGGGCGGTCAGCCTCACTCACAGCAGCCTCCAACTCCTGCCTCCAGCGATTCCTCCTGCCTTGGCCTCCCTTCCCTATGTAGCTGACACAGGCGTGCCCCACCACGCCCGGCTCATTTTTTCCCTATATATTTTTAGTTGTCCAGCTCATTTCTTTCTTATTTTTATTTTTTTTAAACTAGAGGACGGGGTCTCGCTCTTGCTCAGGCTGGCTCACCTCCTGACCCGGAGAAAGAGCGGATCCTCCCGCCTGGGCTCCCTCCCAGAGCGCTGGCACGACAGGCCCGTAGCGAGCCTCCTGCGCACCGGGCCTCTCTTTCCTTTTTTTGCTTTCTTTCAACATCTTGGGGAGTTGGCGTGTCTTCCAGAGCGTCGATTTTCTAGCATGTTTCTCTGCTTGCGTCCCTTCTTATTCGGGGGGTCTTTGCCGGGTCTTCTTTACAGTCGTACGGAAGGAGGGCAGCCAGGACAGAGCGGGAGAGACGGGCAGCAGAAAGTCATTCGCTCACGTCCCCCTACGCGTCAAGCAAGGAGGTTAAGACCGCGGCCCGGCCTGCCCGGTGGCTGTCTAGCGCTTCCGCCCGGGCGGCTCTGGGTCCCTCTCGCCCGCCCGCCCGACCGCCCGCCCGGCCCGTTGTCATCCTGCCCCCCAGACGGCTGTGCCAAGCCACAAGGGATCGCGGGGCCCGTCCACAGACATGCCAGCTTTCCTGGCTGTTCAGCCCTTCCAGCGGGAGAGCCTCGGAGTACCTTCCAGAACGTTCTGCCTTTTCGAACCAGGCCCCCTTCTCCTGTCTGACCTGCAAGGGGGGGATCGACGAAGGACTCAGCCCTTTTCTCTCCTCTCTATTTTTTCTTTTTTTTTGTTGAGACAGGAGTTCTGGCTCGTGTCGCCTGCTGAGCGGAGAGCGCGGCGTGGGTGTCAGGCCTCGCTCAAACGGCCGGGGGGGGCCTAAAGGCGATCCTTCCGCCTCGGCCTCCCTCCCGCGTGGCTGGGACGACGAGAGGATGCGGCCTCCATGGTGCCCATGCTCGTTTTTTATTTGTGTATTTTTAATCGGCCGATTCATTCTCCATTTTTTTGTAGAGACGGGTCTCGCTCTGCTCAGGCTTGCCCCGACTGCCTGCCTCGAGCGAGGCTCCCTTCCTCGGCCTCCCCTTCCCGAGGGAGCTGGACGACAAGGCATGTGCACCACAACCCGGGCTCGTTTTTGTATTTTATATTTTAGTTGTCCGATTTAATTTTCTTCTATTTTTTTTTTTTTTTAGCTGGGAGACGGGTCTTCGGTTCTTTGCCTCAGGCTGGCCTGCCAAACTCCCGACCTCCAGCCGATCCTCCCGCCTTCGGCCTCCCTCCGGGTTAGCTGTGACTATTACAGGCATATAATATAGTATATATATATATATAATATATTAGTTGGCCAATCAATTTCCTTCTATTTGCTCACTAGAGACAGACGGGGAAGCTCGCTCTTGCTTGCAGGCTGGCCTTTCCGCCTGCCCGACCCCGATCGAGCCTCCGCCCCGGGGCTCTCCCCCTCCCCCCCGCACCTCTCCTCTGACCTCTGGCCTCCCCACCCCACAGATCGAGGAGGCCCTGGTTCGCAGGAAGAAGATGGAACTCCTGCACAAGTACGCCAGCGAGACCCTCCAGGCCCAGAGCGAGGAAGCCAGGAGACTGCTGGGCTACTGAGCGGCCGGCGCCGTTTTCCCCCCCTGCGTTCTGGAAGATTCCACGGCCCCTCGCGGGGCCTCGACGAGTCCGGGACGCCAGAGGCGAGGTTCCCTGCTCCTTTCCGGTCCTTTCTTCGTTTCCCATTTCTCTCTGGTCTTGGGGTCCCCGCCGGGCCCCGCAGGCGCGGAACGTTCCAGACTCCACCTTTGCCTGCCGCGCCGACGACCCATTTATTTTTATCTTGCGGTCGGCAAGGCGGGCGCCCGAGTGTCTGCGATTCCGCCCCGTAACTCGGGGGGCCGGGCAGGGTCCCTCGTGCAGGCTGACGTTTATCAAAAACAAAAGAAAACAAAAAAAAACCTACCAAAAATGTCATTTTTCTAAAAAAAAAAAAAAAAAAAAAAATAGGGCAGATGATGTCTCAGGCCCGGGCTGCAGCCTCGAACTCCTGGCCTCCTCGAGCGAGCCTCCCGCCCCGGCCTCCTCCCAGAGTCCTGATTTCTTTCTTTTTTTTTTTTAGTAGAAACGAGGCTTCGCTCTTGGGCTCAGTCTGGTTTTGAACTCCTGGCCTCGAGCGAGTGATCCTCCCGCCTCGGCCTCCTCCCGGAATCTTGAT